CATTTTAGAGGACCTTTTATCCATAAACTTTAAAAAGATGCATAAATACGAATGCCTTATTTCACCAATGAAGTACAAAGTATTAAATGACTTGCCAGAGAACACATAGCAGGTTAACAGCAAAGCTATTGTTGCAAGTCTTTCCTTCACTCCATCCACTGGATTACAGCGCTGTTTCTCAGACTTTCCTTTGGGATCACCTTTTGGTTGGAACCTCCGTTCCTTCAAATATATTTCACTTCATGAACTGGCATAAAGTCACAGGAACATATTGACATAAATATAAACAAGACCCAAAGTTATGCAACCATCAGTTTTGCGTATTGACTATACCATACGGATTATCAAACTTCTGCTATTATTAAAAATACATTATAGCCATAGCATATTACAATTGGATCATCAGTGAATTTTGCCAAAAATAAACCCCCAGCGATATGCAGGAAGCTTCCAGTTTTAGCATCCTAGGAATAATATTGCATGAACCAAGACAGCAGAATTAGAAAGAACGCTATATTAAGGATGAAGATGGGCTGCAATCCAAACTCTCTGAGGCCAACGCTGGTAATGCTGATATTGATGCTATTGGGCTAGACTTGCAACCTTTGAACAGTCTGGAAGAAGAAGGACAAACAGGAGAGAGGAGTGAGACAGCCACAGCTGGGACTGATCTGGTCTGAATAGCTCTGCTGGGCACAGGGTAATTACAGATACAGATATAAAACCTGTGCCAAGTTGAAGTTTAGAGGCAGTCTCTACAAAAGCAGAACTCCTTTACCTCAGAGCATACAGGTGAACTAGGCAGACTATAGCCCTACTGTTCCCTTGATAGCTTTGGGGTTTGGAGCAAAAAGCTATACAGCACCAGGGAAGCACAATCAGGCAGATTAGAGGCAAAACCACTTTCCTGTCTTCCTCAGTCCACATCGTTAAAGCAAAAAGCAGTTGCCATTAATTTGGCAGATTTTCCAAAACTGAACTGAGGAATGAGTCCTCGTTTTGAGAGGACCTGTAGGTCAGGTTTCAAACTGAACCATTTTATGATTTTTAAAAAAAAAAAGTTCATCCTACAGATAGTCTCAGTCACCTCTTCACCAGGCATCAATTAGCATTGCTTGAATGCAATCAGTGGACTGAGAGAGCTGGAGGGCTCCCCCTTCATCTTTCACTCACTGTCATTAGCCAGGAAAAGAAAAAGGAAAGACAGCTCTTTACACCGTTCATGCATGCAATTTGTTATGAACTTTCCATCTGTGTTATGATTAAACCCTTTGCATGTATCTTTATTTTAGAAACACTGATTAGTAAGTAACAAAAATCTATCTTAAACTAGAGCTGAGCAAATAAGCTTCTTAATGTTTTAGACCCCATATCAGCATAGAAAGCTCAAGCAGACTGTAATGTTCTTCGATCTGATGCTTTAAATTATTTTAATGATTGCCATTTTATGTTTTAACTCTATGGATCAGTTGCAATTGTTCTAAATTTCAGCTTCTCCATTCAATTATCACATGAGCCACGTAAAACTCTTTCAGTTTCCTGCTCTGATGGCATCTGTACATTTGCAGTTCTGCTTCCCAGTGCACTTGTGTATGTGGCTTTGAAACCCTCTCTGCCAGTAAAGCTGAATTATTTGATTGTTCCGAGAAAACGAACACAAAAGGGACATAAAAAGATCAAGCTGAATTTATTTAAGATTTGGACAAACATCCGTGGAACGCTCCTGGCATTATTTACCCAGCTCTTTTTAATGCTGTGGTGGTACAGCATTTTGGAGAGTGGAGGGCCTAAGCTAACCACGCTTTCTCAACATCTTCTCCTATGAGAGGCTCACAGACAGGTTGTGTAAGCCAAGTGTGTCGCACTCACTCACTCACTGCAAACTCAGACTTTGTGAAGCTTCCCGGAGAGTGAGGAATTAAGGAAGAAAATTGTTCAAAGCGTTACAATGTGCAATTTCAATGCAAGGCATAATGGAAGTAGCTATGTGGGAGGATATTACTTCACTATAAACCCAAATCAGATGCCCAAAGATTTTTATCATCTCCAGAGAACATTCCATCAGGCTCTACACGAGGTTTTCCAGTGGAAGAAAAATATCCCCCCCCCCCCCCCCCCCCCAGGCTTGAGAAAGTTGTATGGCTTTTTTAACAGTTTCTAATGAAATCCCATATTATTGCTTCTCCCCTGGGAGACTTCAAAAGTCAAGCAAACTTCACAGAGCCCACATGTTCGTAAACCTCAAGCAAAAGACCAATAAGGAAATAAATTGCAGTTCTCCGGTTAGCATTTGACATTCTCTGCTGTTTTTCTGAAAGGGAGAGTTTGTCTTTCTTCTTAACCATGCCGATAAATTAAATGAGTTACTAAACCCAGCATTATTTCATGTTTTAAGGCGCACTGAAATCAAAAACTCCAGTTCACAGTGGGATTTGCTTTCTGCATAACGTTTTGGGGAAATATGAAACAAACCCAGCAGTTTAGAACATGTTAAAGGGGCAAAAACGTACATGAATATTTTCTTCATGCTCCTTATTGTGTATTCACAGCTACTGCCAAACACAACAGCATAGAAGGAGTATTAGGATATGAAATGGGAAGCGGTCACATTTTCAAAGCAAGCTGCTGGGTGCCCCAGCACTACTGAAAATCTGCCCCCTGACTCTTTGGTGCTGTTACAGAAAGAAATATCTCTAGGCTGGCAGCTGGCCAATCAGCTTTGGAAATCCTTTTGCACAGTAATTTCAGTAAAGCATAAAAGCTGATCCCTAGCTTTCTCTGCATGATTAAGCACTGTCACCAATCACTACGCAGCTCTGAGGTACACATGAAATACTCCTAGATAAATCCTCCATCTCCAGAGAAATGTGTTTCCTGTACAACTGTAAATCCAGGTTCTGTGCTGAAACTAATCCAGTCTGGCAATGCTATGGCCCTAGAAAAGTTTCCTTGGAAACGACAAACTTATGCAATGGCAAAGTCATCCAATCTTTTCATGCCACTACATTATATTAAAAACACCTGGTTTATTTTTACAATGACTCACATGACTTACAGATTAGCATCCTAGAAATATTAATACATAAACTTTATAGCAAAAAATATACATATAATAATTCATCCTTCTATGATATATAGAAATGATGTATATTTGGGTGTGTGTGTACATACATATTTAAATATATGGGTTGTACTTACGTTCAGGGCACTTGTGTATAGATATGTATATCTACATACACACAGGATACATTTATGCATCTTTATAGATGCTCGTGTGTGCATACCTAAACATACATAAAAAACACAGGAGCATATTTACACTCTGAGTAGTCGTGTACTTTGCCGAATCTGTACACAAACAAACAGCTGCAGTCCTTCACCGGCTGTGAGCTTCAAAGGCATCAGTGACGCCCACGTTAGTGTCCGTGGAGAGAGAACTAATGTCATCGCTGTGGACATAGGACTGGCTTGATGCATCTTCCTTTGTGAAGAACTAAATTTGCTGGACAGTGGCACCCTGCAATGCAAGGCTTGTTGCATGGGCCAATCTCATTCCAGTTGTCACATGTTTTGACGCATCCAGGACCACACGTATCGTAAACTGCACCGTGTTTACACTGAGTTGCTGAAAGGCAGTTAAGAGGAAACGCAGATTACACAAAGTCACATATGGAAAGTTAAATATCTGTTTGTTCGCTTTCTGTTGTGAATATCTGAAAGCACATTTTCGTACTATGATCATCTAGAGGAAAAGTATTTTGTAAAGAGATTTGACTACATGAAAGGCACTGCTACTTTACATGGCAGGTATAAAGGTATCAAAATCCAATTTTCCTAACAGTCTTCAACTTTTTGAGAATTTTAACACAGCTGACTGTATATAAAGCATAGAAATGAAAATCCAGATCTCAAATCTGCAAAACTTTTGGAAGGTTTCTATCCTGAAGCAGATGTATGCTTTGTATTTAAGGCTTAGCATTGTTTATTTATTTAGTGTGATGCCTTTTATCAAAGGTTTCTGAAATATTTACAAAGACAATTATCATCTCCACTCTTAAGGAAAGAACAAAAAGAGGAAGTCATTCACCACATCAGACTTCCTAAGATTATACTTTCAGTGCTGCATATTGTAGCAAATCAAAGTAGTTAATTAGTAGTTAATTCAGCAGCTCCATTTCTTAAAAAGAAAAAAAAAACAATGATTTCCGTGCTTTGTGCTTTTTTATCAAGGGATCACTGAGAATGATGATTCTTGTACTTAATGATTCTAGTGTCTATTCATTGATTTCTGCAGCTGACAGTGCAATGGATTTCCAACATAAAGACCACTGAAGGCTCAGCTAAAAGCACTATGCCCCCACCAGATCAATATTTAAACTCTTAACATTTTATATCCTGCCATTTTAGTATGGAGAATAATACATGGCTCAGTCACGAATAAAAGCCTGTTATTCTTTCAAACAGCTGTGCTGATGGCAAAAACAAGTACTGGTCAGATAGCTTATAGATGGAAACACAGTCTCAAGCATCCAGGATCATCTCTGGCTATTTACAGTGAAATGGCTGTACTAAAAAGATTTCTTCCATTTGGAGAGAGAAGGAAGATCCAGATTTTGTTAAAGTGCAGTTCTGTTATAGGCAGAAGAGTGTCATTATAGATTGGTCTTAAAATGCCATTACTGTGCTGAGATTATTCATAAAGAGAAAAATATGCATATAAGCTGATTAAAATACTAAAGCTTACGTAAGCGTATCATGAAGGATAGAAGTCTAAGTACTCAGAGATCATGTTTAAGGGGCTCCTCTTCAGCTGCACAAGGTTAACTTCATAACAGCATCAGCTTCCTGCAAGTTTTACTTCTTGCAAATTTTATGGCATTTATACATTTGCATAAAGCAGGCCTGAGGGAGGAAAGAATTTAGGAAAGAATGCATACAAAGATCTCAGAACACAGAGATTAAAGGAACAAACAAAAAAAATGGAGATATTGGGTAGTACAGCAGAAAACTATCTTGGAGTTACAGAGAATTAGCAGCTGAATATTAGGATAGATATTAGGGGGGGAAAAAAAGCTTTCTAGCTTTAAGCATGAGAAAGCACTAGAACAAACTGCCTAAGAAGTCTGTGAAACATCTTTCATTGAACAGCATTTAAAAGTAGGTTGGACAAACACCTTTCAGCAATGTTCTATATATGCTTATTCTGCCTGTGGGCATAGGTCTTTTGGGGACTCTTTTCCAGCCTTACATTTCTATCTTGCTTTGCACTATAACTTTCCTGCATTTAAAGAAGGGAAAAAATGTAAAAGGAAAAATTAAAATGAAATGTAAATGAAAAGGGAAATTCAGAAGGTGGGAAAACTTGCAAGCAATGTTAATCATAGAGTAAAACTGGTATTAGATTTGCTATAAACTCTGCACCGTGTGTTAAAACAGAGATGGAATCTCTGTAAGAGTGGAAAGTAAAATGCGCGCAGCTTCAAAAGGCTTTGGAAACAATGTGTTAGTTGTGTAGAAAAGTGGACTGAGATGTTCCAAGACTGATAGTGATTGTCCACGCACAGCATGAAGTATCTTAAGGGACCTGTATACCCGAAGCGTTGGTCCCTCCTCTCTGAAAATGAGTTTCCCTTCAACGGGTCTCGAATTGACTAACCACAAAACTGAAACAACAGGCTCCAGTACGTGCAATTCCCATGCAGCAAGCTCTGCATGCTGAAGTTTCTAGGCAGTAGAGATTTCTCCCCAGATGCTTTACTGCACTCATAGCCAGCCCTTTCTTTCCATCTGAGCTTTGTTTGGTGCCTCAGCTGGTGGGCTGTAGGAAAGTTGGGTCCAGGTCTCCTTGCCACTTCCTCATCTCTGCCCCAGAGGAAATGAGAAAACATTAGAGGCTGCCCTCCGCTGCCGCAGTATCCGTACGAGCTCCCCAGCTCTGCTCTGCCCCACGTGGACAGATGCCCTTTTGCGTGGTGAAACACCTCCTTCTCCTTCAGACAGCACCATGGAGAAGATACGCGGACTTGGCTTGCCGCTGCAGTTAGCATATATGACATTATTAACTGGCTGTCTAGGGAAAGCTGAAAAAAAGCCCAATGGCTGCTGTTTAAGTTCCCTGGATGTTTTTTATTGTTGAGCACTTCGGTTGTTAACATGCGGCCTGATTGATCCAGGACATTCCACCTCATCAACAGTTTGAAAAAGAAAAATGAAGACATTCTGCAGTAGGCTTCCCAGGGACTGCTGAAATGAATCAGTACCATGTAAACATGGAAAACAGAAGTGATGCCTTTGCACCCGCCTTTTTAGGCAAATTCCTCTTTTAAAGCACTGAGCTCTGCTAGTAATAACTTCCTTAGTGAACTAGCACAAAAAAAAAAGCCCAAGTACAAAAGTTACTAATAATACTGCGTTTTGCAACATTACCAGTCCCAACAGGATTTTTCCACTCTTCTTCTAGAACATGTGTTTGGCATGACAGATGTGAGCTTCCTCAGATCACTTTCTGAGCTGGCGGGATGGTAGCCAGCTCTGGTCCACAAGCCATATAGTCACATAAATACAGCCCTGTGCCTGAGCTAATAAACCCTGCCTAATAAGGCCATACTTTTTTCAGACGAGAGCCGGTTTATTCTAGCCAGTCTGGCACATTCACAGAGAAGGCTTGTATCTGTCTGTGCCTCTTTGCAGACATGATTGTAATTATTTAGTAACCGTTCTTCCCCAACACAAAAGCCAGAATATCAAACGGGGAACTTCTGCAGGCTTCCCTTGTGAGGTGGTATCTGGTAAAGCTGATTCCACAGAAATTTCTGAGGCAACACTTGTCCATCAGTATCTCATGCTGCTTTTTCTGTTGGTGTCAGGCAGCTTGTGCTTTCCAGGTGTTTCTTAGGACTTACAAGCTAGGTTGCACTCATGGTGCTTCCAACTCACAAAATGTCCTTTAACATGGAGCAGGAGAACATAATAGATCTGGACTCTGACCTTCTAGTGAGGCAATGGTGTTGATGTTTTCAGCTTTCAGGTTTTAAGAAGTTTCTGTTGAAAAGTCAAAATAGCCCTCTTCCCTCTGATACTTATTCACACAGACTAAAGTGGTTAAAGGAAAGCAAAATGTAGCAGTGGTAAGAGTGACTTTGGACAGAAAACTCCGCAGCAGGAGTGAGGGGACCCAGGAGAGAAGAGGCATAATCAGATCTAGACTCATCCTCCTCTAGTTCAACTAACCACATAGAGATCAAAGAATAAAATTATTCAGGTTTTAGGAGGCTGTTGGCGCATGCCAGCCCCTTGATGATACCAAGAGCACTTCACACTTTGTTACTGTTCATCCCTGCTTTTCCCTTCTGTCTGTGTAGTCATGCCTGTGGCAAGAGTTACTGCCTACTGCCATCAGCCTCAACGCCCTCAGAATTTTAATGTTAAATCACTAGGGAACAAGGTCTTTCCCCATCCTCAGTTTACTTAATTCCTCCTCATAAGCTGCTTTCTTATCCTTTCTTGGATATCTTCCTTTCTAACTTCCTACTATTTCTTACCTCTTCCTTCCATTTGCAACCTTTTTTTTCTCTATGTCATATATATTCCCTATCTCATATACTATTTTCTCTTATTTCTTCTTTCCCGCACCCTGACTCTCTGACTTTTTCCTTCTCCTTCATATATCATTTATTTCACTGTATCCATCATAATAGTGCTCACTCTCCACTACTTTCCATGGAAACCTGGAATTGTTTCCAAGCCCTCTAAGTTCCCATGTGCTTCTCACCAACACTTTCCTACAATAACCTCCTTCCTTTTCGCTATTCATTAGCTTCTCCGCTTCACCCATCCTGTTTAACGACAGCTGATACTCTCTTTACCAAGCTAGACCCCAAGCACACCAAGCCTTGTGCTGCAGTATTCAGTTGATGAGTTAGAGGAGGATACACTGCCGAGAGCATATAGAGAACAGGACATATAATTCAGCCTCCTGAGCATCCCGTCTGGCTGGCTGTCCAGACAATGCAAGCTTTCAGAAGATTGTAAGAATGAGCTAAGCGTACAGCAGTCAGGGTAGGGGAAATGGCAACCACACAAGATCTGGTTTTATAACACACAAAAGAATAATTAAAACCTGACTTTACTAATAAGTATACTCCATTTTCATCAGAACACGGCTCTTCCAAGTATCCCACCAGCTACGAAATGTCAAACAGGAAATGAAAGTCACAGAATGCTAAAGTTTTATTATGGATATATTGTTTCATACCCAGAAACTTTTATCCATAATTAGGACACAATAACTGCAGCTACAAGTGTTTTGGGGGAAAATGTGAGTTAAAGATTAAAACCTTGATCCTGGCCACTGGTAAGGTAAGAAGTGTAGTGGACGCACTTTAATTTAATTTAATGCTTACCATACCATTTACTATAGAATATTGTGCTACTCGTTTGACATTGGATGCTTAACAAAGCGTTCTGTGGTTACTTCACACATACAACACATCTACATTTTCTGCTGAACAAGATTTCCCCTTCCCCTCTAGAAGTCTGCATTGACCTCAAAAAAATCAAGTGGATTCAAGCACTTCTTCCATTAGCTTTAATGGAAGATATGTGTTTAAATTCCTTCAAAATGTTCTCTCAAGGACTGTTTATGCCTTAGAAATTTTTCTTCTCTTTGGCAAAATACCAGAAAAAAATGTGAAAAGAAGCCTCAATTGGTGAAGTCACAATACGCCAGCACTTGTATAAACCCCTCAAGGTAGGGACTGGTGTTTTTATTCTACGTTCTATGGCATCTGCCACAGTGGGGTCCTGGTCTGAGGTGCTTTGGTCAGAAATAATGCAATAAAAAGCATTCAGGCTGCTTGTTTTGGGTTTGGGTTCTACTCTGATCTGCTGCTGGATCAACAGATTAAAATTACATATGTCATTAATATTGCTTGTGACCACATCCTTGAACAGTGCATTCACTTAGTGACACCCTGTTTGGATAGTTCTGTTCCTCTGTAATAAAAAAAAAAAGCAAGCCGTTCAGGAACAGTCAGTCAAATGTAATTTGCTCTGTCTCTCACCCGCTCTTGCTACTGTGACTTCAACATAAAAGGAAATTAAAGTTGAGAGAGTAGACCGTGAGCCACACAATCACTGAAATGGACCACAGAGTAATAGCTCTTTGACCAGCATAGAATATCCTCCTCTCATTTTTAACTACTATCCATTGCTTTACATAAATCTGAATACATGTCCAGGCAAACTGATGCCATTATAGAGTGTCCTAAATTAATAGGACCATCATCAGGGGAAATATTCATCTGCGATACTGCATTTTACTTCAAGTGCCCATGACCACAGACCACCACTTCTCTTGGAAACGATTACTCACAATTACTTGCAATTAATGCAGTCCTAATCACATGGGAAATCTGGCCCAAGCACCAAAATTAATGCAGTACAGCATTTTAATATTCCCATTAAAAACATTATCTCCTCTTCCCTCATTATACCTATTATAATCATATATATCTGCTGTCTATGAAGATATAATTGTGCTTTAACAGGAGAGCAAAGGAATTTAAACATTATTGCTAACCAACTATTTGCATATTCTGAATGGAAAAGACATGTGCTTGTTTCCGGAAGCGCACAAAATCAGGACAACTGGCATCAGAAGTGAAAAGTTTTGCAATGAGATAAACATTTCTAATATTTGCCGGTTGAAAAATCTTGCCTGGTAAGGTCTTTCTCCATAGTTCAGCATGGAACCTCACTGCTGATGTAATTCCAGGCCTTTCCAAACAGTTCTTCGTTTCTGATCTTCCTCCACCAGCACCAGGATAATACCCTAGTTAGCCTATACACTGAGTTGCAGTGAAGCAATCTGAAAACGCTTACCTGCACAGTTCTGCTCAGGGATCCACTGGACTTTCAAGCCTTCCCTCTGACAGGCTCGGGCATAGGCCAGGAATGACTCACAGTAGCAGTTTTTATGAACGGGACATTCACACATGTCTGTCACGCAGGACCTGCAGAACAACGCCCAGAAACAAATAAGCAAGAAAAGATTTGACAGATACCTCTCTGAGCTTTGCAATCATCCATTCTTTGTTTGTTTTTTTTTTCCCACATGGAGTTCAATGTGACAGCACCTTGTGCTAAATGGTAAGAGAGTTAAATACTTTGCTGCTGCCAAATCCAAAGGGTTCAGCTCTTTTTTAATATGCAATGCTGATGCAGAGAAGGCTCAGCTGCACCCAGGAGAGAACCACGCAGAAACAGGGAGGTGGAATAAGAACTAAGAAACAGAGAGGACCAAGACATCGGTGCGAGAAGGCAAACACCATTTGCAACAATTTTGTGTCAACACAAAACATAGGCTTCTTATCCCCTGGAAAATACTAATTTAATAAAAGTAATAACAAAAATAACAAAAATAACAACAACAAAAACGAGTAACAGCAGCAGCATTAAATGGAGGAGTTCTGCAGGCAGTGAGCACCCACCCTGCCCTCTCCAGCCTCTCCCTGCTTTGCAGGCCCCAAAGCAGCTATGTGCCCGTTTTCTCAACGGCAGCACTACTAAATGCCAGACTTTTAAGAGATCTATAAAGGAGCAGGGATGAGGCAGCATAACTGAGAAGTTTTTATGCTAGGAAATCCCTGGACACTTGTTAATACCACCACCTTCTTCTATTGCATACGATGCAATCACTGCAAAATGTAGCCGGGAGCAAAGCTCCTAAAACGGCCCAAAGCAAAACTGCTACTGCCTATTTCACCACTATATTTATAAAGATAGCTCACCCCGAATGCGTGCCCATTTGGCACAGGCCTCAAACATAGCTGGCAAAAGAGGGCGGATTCGCAGTCGGTCGGCAGTTTCTGCACATGCAAAAAAATGCCTAAACGGTTCTGCAAATGCTAACGGCTCACTTTCAGACAAACTGAGTATCCGCTGCTCCCAGGGAGATCATTAGAAGGCAGGGACAAGGCGTGGGGGAGACGCACGCAGCCCCTTGAAAATCAGGCCCTCCGTCCCCCCACTTTCCCCGGGTGTGCTCTGCGCAGCACCCGTGGGTGCCACGGGGCAGGATCGCCCGGGCCCCTGCACACCCGCTGCCGTCACCGTTCCCGAGAGGACAGGGTAGCGTCTGTGAGAGGCACAAAGGCTCCGGAGATGAAGGGCTGAAAGTCACAAATGAGCTTTCCGTGTTGATCTCCCTTGTTGGAGACTGAAAATTTGTCTTTAGGAAAGGGGTAAGTATCGGCCGGCTTTTCCAAAAACCTCCCCACAGCTACACCCTGGAAAAGGAGCACCTCCACCAGGGCGGGCAGGAGCCCTAATGCCTGTAAGATGCTTAGGAGTCACTGGGAATGCTTTTTACAAGACTAGGAGGGAGAATTATTGTCCTTTCAAACATGGACAAGCTTGTTTCTGCATAGTCAACAGTGCTCCTGAAAGAGGAGAACTTCCCCTTGTCAAAGACACTGGCTATTTCTATGACCTTCCATACAGTTATACTTAATACCTCCCCTTGGCATTTTCATGAGCTGTTAATCATTTTTACCCTCAGTGAACCCCTAGCATGAACTTATCTAAAAATTCACTGCAACAAATAAGCAACATAAGAGCTAATGTAGAAAGGTATCTGACCTGCATTTATCCATATACACATAACGCGAATAAACAGAATTGCTTTGCATCAGATAGATAACACTTTTGTGTTTACAGCCCAGCAGTTTTCCTTTGCAATGTATCAGATAGATAACACTTTTGTGTCTACAGCCCAGCAGTTTTCCTTTGCAATGACTTTACTCTTTAGTGAAAACGTACTTTTATTTCGCTTTAGTTCTGTGGTAGGTCACATCTTTTAGAATAGCAGATGCTGCTGTATAGGCTGCAAGGAACAGATTAGCACAACATCCGTGGCATTGTTTGGCATCGTAGCTGATAAAAGGCCTTGTACAAGCATACAGGGTCACCTTTCCACTTAATACACTGACTGAATAGCTTTGCACAGTTTCCTCTGGCCGCAGCATGCCTGCGCTCTTTCGTGAGCATCCTGTTCTGTGGTTAACAGGCACTGCTAGAAAACAGGAAATGTTCAATATTGCCCGTGCCATTTAAGAGGTGTACGTCTCATTTCACGGTTGAGTACATGCTTGTTTGCTACTGTAGCAAATTATTATCACAAAGACAGTCTCTAATAATCTCCACAGACGGAGTCAGTTATCAAGGGAGCATTTCATCATCTTTTTTGTTTCTGTGCTAGCCTCCTCCAACAAACACGTGTTACTGCTCTCCACCAGGATTTAGTCATTATTTAAGCCCAGGGTGTTTAGGGATGCTTGCCAGCGCCAGGCTGGTTATGTGCTCACTGACTTCCTGCCTGAGGAATTATAAAATCCTCAACCTGCGGTACTTCCTCTGGTTTTGAGAGCGCGCACTGACAGTTGTGCACCCCGAGAGGCTCTGGTTGCGCGGAGGGGATGCCGACTCCAGCAGGGAGCCAGCGCGGCTAAGCTGCCTCAGGCGCTCCTATCATGGGGTGATGAAATTTCCCGGCGCAAGACCTAACGTGCCAAACGACGGGGAGTCCCCAGAACTACGGGTTCAGAGGCTCAGGCTACATCTACATTAATAACTAAGCAAGACCAGGGCACAGGCTCGCCCTCAGTCACCCATGCTTCTTAATTATCAGCCGGTTCATGGCAAGGCTCGCGCTCTGCCCGGCGGAGAGGGGCACGGTTTGGGGGACGAGGGAGGCCAGGGCACCCCGGACGCCGTACGGCAGCAGGGCAGCCACGCGGTTTGAGGGGCCAGAGAGCTTAGCCATAGTCATGTGAGCGACGCTGTGCCCTTAGCCCTCAGCGTTGAGATGGCCTGGGACGTCCAGACAGGCTCCGGAGTGAAACATCTCCAGGGTGGCTGGGATCAGCACTGATGTCTACAGTGTTCAGCATGGATGGCTGCTAAAAAAGGTAGCGCGTCGCGTTCAGCAGAAGAAACGCTCCGATTCGTTACACATCTAATCGCTTGTGTGATCCTTCCTTCCCTGAAGCGTGTAAAGCTGGCAACGGCTGTTGGGATCGATCCCTAGGTTTGGCGCAGGAGCAATCATCAGATTGCTGTTGTTTTATTAATCAGCTGTAGTCGCTAATTATTTTTAAGGTTAAATAATAATGAAAAATGAGAATAAAGGAAACTACGTGTACAACCGCCAAGTCTTGTCAACAATCAAATGTAAAACAATTTTTTTTTCTTCCCGTGAAATTCCTTGCTGGCAAATATAACGCTATAATATTAACTGTAGTTAGACAGATCGGCAGTTCAGCTGGGGCAGTGTCTTTTTATATCACTTCTGAAAGCAGCAGGATGCAGGCGCCTGGTTTCTTTGATTACCAAGGCAGTCACTGCTTCCCTCTAGTGCGCCCCACGGGAAACTCCAGGCAAGGCCACCAAGAGAGTCCAAGGGCAGTGCTGGGAGAGGCCATAGCGGCAAAGATGGCCTTTCTCTGGGGGAGAGAGGTGGCAACGCCCCACGGTCAAGCTTTGACTTTGGTTCTGTGTTTTTCTCAAGTTATGTTTGCTTCTTATATTGGACTACATTTCTCACAGTTATTCTTGCTACAGTCACATTAGAGGGATTCTAGGGGGCGTTTCATTAGTTAAATTTAAAAACTGATTCTTGTGCGCTGGCCTAATGTCTTCCCCTTTCAAAAATCTTTGGTAGGCCTGTAATTTTCTTTTTTACCCCCTCCACTGATTGATTGATACATTTCAAAATTCTTCTCTATAACTCCATATTCTGCCTCCTCTTCATTCCTCCTTTGGATCTAATAAATAGATTCTATGACACTAACTGCATGTATGCAGAGACTGTACTGTATGCAGAGACTATAGGCATATCTGTACTTTAAACTGACTGGCCTGTTAAATAACAGAAAAACATGGTTTTTGTTAAAAATTTGGAATTTTGCTGATAATGAAGCAATACTGTCAAGTTACTTTATTGCCCACTAATGGAGATTTTGGCTCTTCCAAGTTATTGTGATTCTTTTCTAAGACCAAAACATTTATTTTAAAAAAAAAAAAACCTAAAATTTTGAATATACATATCAAAAGCTTAAACATCAAAAAATTTACAGTCATACAGAAATAATCCCACAGGAAGACTGCAGTGGAAGTTACTTATAAAACAAAACCATTTTACCAGCTATGGAAATACATACAGGGCACCTCAGGCAGCCTTAACTCTGCCCTCAGTGAAATCACATACTGATGCAGTGAAGCTGTGGTCCAAAAATTTATATTAAGGATATATTCAGATTTCTAAAAAAACTATTTTTCCCGTGATGGTGAACTATCCTGGCGCCTTGTTTCAGCATCTTTTATATATCACCACCGGAGTTTAGGTGAGAGCTACCCTGTGATACTGATGTTACTTTAAGAACAGAACAACACGCCGATTAAAAAGGACAGGTATTTCAATCTTAAGCAAACTGACATAATTTTTTATGCACACACCTAAGTGATAAATCCTCTGTCAAATCACAGACACTTGTGTAACAGTGAAAGAATCCCACACGCTACCCCAGGTAGTCCTAAGTGGACAGCAGGAGATGTTATTTTCCTCTCTGTGTCACAGCCATCCTCTCAAGCATGCTTCAAACTCAGTCATACCTTCCCAGTGCCTTAAACTTCTATTTAGATATGCTCTTTTAAAAAAGCACCTCCCTAGTCACAAGAGTAGTACACATGTATACGTGCTTGGACATGGAACAAAGTGGACACTTGCTATACAACAATTTTTCTCTAATATAGTTACAGTACATAACTATACTCTCCTATACTATACTCTCATACGAGAGTATACTATATGTACTCTCATGTACTCATATACTCTACTCTGTATAGTCTAGTGGTCTCTCTACATGCAGGATAGTAGTTGAAATAAATAGTGGATTTCACATGTCAGTCTACCAGGGAGGGAAGACATGCCATGCAGGGAGACATCAGACAACCA